AGCTTCATCACTGTCAGGATGTATCAGAGGTTGGCCAAGTAGATCTGCCTGGCAAATGGACTCACCGGGGTCACTAAAAACAAGTTAAGCTTCGGCACTGTCAGCATGTATCAGAGGTTGCCCAAGCAGATCTGCCTGGCAAATGGACACACCAGGGGAACTAAAAGCTGCTGCCCTTCTGTGTAGGTACCTCTAGGTGCCTGCTCTTTCTACTAGTCAGCAGCCTATTTATTTTATTAAGTGCCATAGCAACTTCAAGATCCATGGCTTTCCTTTTTCACATTATGGAGGTAATGGAGGTTTATTCCACATTACAGTGTAAAAGGCTAATAAACAAGGTAATGTGGAAACGTTAATAGACCAGGGTGCCGTGCCACAATAGGTATGCCTCCTGGCCTCCTCAGCAGTGCGTACCAATTTCATGGTAGTGGGACTGTCATGTGAAGTGGACTAAAGACTGATCTGAAGGGGTCTTCTGATGTTAAAGGTGTTAAAGGGGAACACTGATGTGAAAGTGAGGCTTCTGATGTGAAAGGGGAGCTCCAAATGTGAAGGGGGGTACTGATTTAAACGGTGACTCTGATGTGAAGGTGGGGGAAATCTTGATTTGAAGGGGGCACTTTGATGCTAAGGGGGAAACCCACTTGTTTGTGTGTGTGTTATACCCCTTAAAATCTATGACATTTTAGATTGGGGTGCCACAAGATTTTTGACTAATTTTAAAGCATGCCGTGACTAAAAAAAAGGTTGAGAAACACTGCACTAGATCATACTGGATTTTATTTTACCATAGTCAGCAAAAAGATGAATCGATTGGATAAGAAATATAATTCTTATTGGATACTGCTGACATTTTGCACAGCAAGGACGTTCTCAGAATACTTAGAGACAGGGCAAGCTGAAGTGATAGCGTGCGGATTACTTATTAATTCAAACATGGTGTGTTGAGAGGAGCACTAAGGGGTCTATAAACAAAATTCAATTCATCTTAATCTTACACAATAGCTTCATAATGTGACATACTGGGATTGCGCGTCTTAGTCAAACCTACCTCCTGCTAACGGCTCCCATCTGTGCTCTCAGGACGATGGAAACCGGAGCACTCACGGAAGTTTTACATAAAAATAATCCTATTTTTCAGGAATTTACAGGGAGAGGGAACACACTGCATTACCGATCTGGCTGTAATTCATGGAAATTCCAACATCAATCCTTTAGATGTAGAAGAAAATGAAAGAATACAATTTTTTTTATTAGAGATCATTATTGGAAACCAGAAAACATTACCAGCTGATGACCGCCATTTGCACCTTTATGGTCAGGAACGGCACATGCACATCTATAATCACAGCTATCTTGTGTCTTTCAGCAGTATCTGGGTATGATTTTATCAATACACTTTTTGGAAATGGGCCATGAAGTTAAATATAAAATATGCTTATAAAGCAAAACGCCTTTAAAAAATGGAAACCTCTTGGTCAAAAAAGATCCCAATACACTAATCACCCTTTCTACACTCTAGTGCTACCCTTCATGTCCTCTTAGGTCTTCCATTGGTGGTCCTCTTCTAGGATGAAAGGCACATAGGATTATTCAAGTCTCTTCCTGTGAGTCCAGGCTGTCAACGGCACACCCCTTAGGGGAAGTGGATCTTCCAGGGCTGTCCCTTTAATGAGGCAGTCACTTCAGGTGGCATTTTATAG